CTGTGTGTGTCTGTGTGTGTCTGTGTGTGTCTGTGTGTGTGTGTCTGTGTGTGTCTGTGTGTCTGTGGGTGTTTCTGTGTGTGTACGTACACACACACACACACACACATTGTTCCTTACATCATCATTGATCCATTTAATATACAAAGATCTTTCTAATATAAAGTGGTCACTACATACAATTATACCAAAGTATTCCCACTCTTATACATTAAAATCATTATTGTCCTTTATATATATGCTATATATTTTTTAATGCACTGGTCATGTACTATTCTGCCTTGCCATGTCTTTTTTTCTGTTCTAATTTGGCCTTTCTTGTAAGCCAGTTGGGTTTCTCCAGTGTGCAGTTAAACCTTCATGAGATGCTAAATTCAGATCCTCCTCCTCCTCATCATCATCATCAAAATTGGTATGGTGTCCAACACTGGTATGTGGGCTGTTGCTTCCTTAGTCCACATTTTAGTCCAATAGTTCTTTCCCTTTGCCCTACAGTTTAATCACATCTTGTCTCCCTCTGCCTTCCACTGATCCTCCTCTTTTCCCTCTATATCTGATACACTCTTGTCCTAGTGCTATTATCTGCACCAAAAGTAATTTATGAAAAGCTATGATAATCACACCAATTTAGGTTACCTAGGTTACACATAACTGTGAATACTGTGAATGATAATAGCTTTCCTTGCCCTTGGATGCTTCATAAATGCTGGACTGTACACCGTTGCATATCTTTCTCTTGATATTTCTCAAATGATAACGTTCACTGGTAGGCAGCTCATCTCTCTCAACAGCTAATCATAACAATGTATGTCTTCATTCAATCTGAATAGTATTTTTTGTGAAAATGGACTTTTTCTTTCATTAGGGCCCTAGTTCACAGAAATGACTTTTAGCACTAGGCTAAATCATGTATTTATATATCATGTATGGTTCCATTTTCTTGCATATCCAGCTAATATTGTCCATTGTCTAAAAAGGCATGGTATCTACTATGCTCATGCTATGTTTTTGTAGCTGCCCTGATCAGATCTGCAAGACGTAAAAGATTCCACTGTGAGGAGTATTGGTGTTAGAATTGGAAATACGGTCATATATATTTTTGAATTATATTATATTATATTTAGTATATTATAGTATAGTATAGTATATTTATTATATTATATTATATTATATTATATTATATTATATTATATTATATTATATTATNAAAGCCTCTGCATGTACCCCCCCCCTTTTTTTGCAAAAGTGGCCTGTTTTTGTGAAAAAGAGGCCATTTTTTGCTCATTTTTGCCCCCTCCCCACTCCCAGGAGCACTCTACAAGCCTCCCAATGCTCTGCATGCCCTTCCCCTCCCCCCACAAAAAACGAGGCATGCAGAGGATTTGGGAGGCCTGCGGAGTGCAATTTTTTTTTAAAAAAATTACCTCTTCAAAATCATGGTGCGTCTTATACTCCGGTGCGTCTCATAGTCCATAAAATATGGTAATCCTGTCCTAAAGCAGCTTTTATGTTACTTCTCAGACCTTCATATTTGAATTCTGAGCTCTGGGAGTAAACCAAAGCTCTAATATCTGTCAATTTCTCATTAGCTGTTAATGATAAAATTCATTTCTGGAATCTTGGAACAGTTTGATGAAACAGACAAATATCTCAATATATTTAGTTACAATAATAAGAATTATTTTGAGAGAAAAACATATGAAATGTGGAAGCTACCTTTCAATTTTGGGGAACCTTCTGATGACATTGCTTTCCTCTTCACTGTTGTTGCTTCTGCTTTATTCTGCTTATGTTGCAAATACTGAGCCTTCTGCTTCCAAACCTACAAAGAATAGAGAAAGCAAAACTGGTATGAAAACTGCATTGTTTAGGCAATTGATTAGCAAAATATGCAGACCACGTAGTTAAGAACACTTAGATCCCAAGCATTTCATAATTATTAAATGTGAAGAGGACTGCTATACATAAGCTACTCTGGGGAGTAAATTAATGCAAGCACCATGATAGCAACATCTTAGGCACAAGACAACTCAAGATATTTTTAAAAATGTCTTCTCAAATATTTACCAGCTTATCTTTCTCTGGAAGCTGTTTCCAAACCTCTGCTAGCTTTTTGCTCAGCTCACCAAAATCTAGTAGGAAATCAGAGAAGGTGAACAGTTCAGAATAAAAGCAGGTAGTTTTTAATTTTAATGAGGAATGTGATTCATGAACATTTAGTTAACCACTGAATGCATAATAAGACACATTAACAACACATGTAACAAAAATTGTTTTTCAATAACTATGAAATATAAAGCTATCCATGTCAGATTTTATATTACATGTAGAAAGCAAAGGCATTCCATAATGAATGACTTTATATATTTTGGCTATACAAATTACTACCATAAGACTGCAAGCAGTTCTAAAAAAATTCTGTGTGAAAAAAACTGGTGCAATCTGGCTGCTAAAAGAACAAAATTAGAGATAGATATTTAATTATCCTGATTTTTATTAGGCAATACCAGTCCACATTTAGCAAGGGGATCAGTGAAACGAATTCTTATTGATAGGTGTGAATGTACTATTATCTATATACTCAGCAAAATTTAGTATGTTTGTCTTGATACTGCAAATTTAATTACTAACATTTGATTATAGCTATGATGGCAACCATTTTTTAATGTATGATATAATAGTCATCAATACTTAACTGAGTTGAGAGGAAATCAATTTAAACTTGAACCAAACAATTTAGTTTTACTAAGAATTAAAAGAGCATCTGCTGAAGTAATTATTTTACAATGATAAGTAGTAATCCTAAAGTATATATCCGTGATGGTGAATCTATGGCACGCGTGCTGGAAGTAGTACGCAGAGCCATCTCTGGGCACGCAAGTTGTTGCCCGTTGCTCTTCTGGGTTCTGGCATGCTGGCCAGCTGGTTGTCATGTGCATGGGAGCACTGGAAACCAGAAGAGCAACCGCCCGGTGCGCGTGGCAGGTGGCTGCTCTT